TTTCATTTTAAATGTATAAAGCATGAAATTGACAGATGTTATCCAGGATTTGTGTGCCCCATATGTCGAGGCTCTGCAGATCTCGATGCACCAATTGAAAATGTCCCTGGTTGGGAATTGCTGGCCGAACAAGAAGAGGCGGCGAAAAAGGATGCTGAAGAATCCACGAGTACTAAGAGAGAACAAACCATAAAACAAACGACCAGAAACGAAAATCAAAGTACGCGCCCACAGAAGTCATCACAAAACAACACTTCTCAATTAATCGAAGATCAACCTAGTTCAATTGGTGGTCGTTCACCTACCGTAGCACCTAATTCTCTTGCAATGTCAATACCAGGAAATAAAAAGACACAAAGCCTACCTGAAGAAGAAGGAGATGATCCAAACATAATGCTTGGAAAAACATTATCATCAAGTACGCCATTGATTCCTGGAATGAGTTTAATTGACGAGGGAATTGACAGTGGTCTATCATCACCCACAAATCAACACCATCACTTACTTCGAGAGCAAGATGAATCATCGAGGCTGGGAGAAATCACCGAAGAAGATGAGTGCTCGATGAGTTCATCATCATTGAATCCATCGGGTCAAAATCAAATTCATCAGACATCCTCCTTCCAAGAACCGAGTTTGTCTTCAGCGAGTGCAAGTGACGATGATGATCCAATTTTATTAAGACTTCGACAGTTAAACATAGGGTCCGGGGACGAAATCTCAAATGGGCAATCGGATGATTCAAGGGCAAAAGGAAAAGGGGTTGACAGATTTGGCACGAGTCACAAAGGCGAGGACATTTTATGATTAAGGGCGCGGTCCTTATGAATTTTCAAAAGTAATAATTTCCAGACATTTTATCTAGTTTGGATGACTCATTTGAATAATTTCAATACTTGTTTTATCATTTTAGTTTTTTCTTTCGTTATCCATCCAAAATAGACATTTTCACTACTAATTCCTATAGATCTATTTTTCATCTTGGGACGGATATCCATACACCTTTTTTTTCGTACTTTTTGGTCCGTTTTTATTCTGTATAGGTTTATCGCATTGATTATGTACTTAACTAGCTACCTTGTCTTTTATAGTGACTTTTAGCCAAGACACAAACTAGTACGTTATCATAATTGTTAAAAAAATCGGCAGTGTTACTTTTGCACTACTTTTGTTTCGAATAGTAACAATTGCATTTTACATTTATTAAATTCTTGTAATAATCAGTCACTACTTCGTGTAACAACAGCAATATAGTTTCTATATTTATATTTATATAAAATATCACATTTTATAAAAACATTTACTGATGCATTGTAGCCAAACGTAATGTTGCATAACGGACCCGGATGGTTCTAGAGATCTTGCAAACATAGTAGTTGTATTACATGAAGAATAAATAAATATGTTTTGATCGTAGCAAAGCAACAATATTTCTAACAGGATAAAATGATCTCGGATTTCCTGGTTTATTAAATAATTCGTATTGAGTGGTATCTTTAACTTTTAATAATTAAAAGGTTTCATAAAAATTAACAATTGAAATTTTAACGGTTTGAATTTTTTTTTTCTTTTTTTTTTTTTTTAACGTACTGTATAGAAATCAAAACATCTCAATAAAAAGTTCGTTTTGTACAAAGAAGAGTGACTTAATTCACATATTTCAAACAATATACCTGACATACTTCCACTCATACTATTATAACCCTAAGCTATGCAATTTACACCATTTACTTTTGATTGTATATAATACTCGCCCTATAAAAAAAATTCAAGCTCAAAAAAAAAAAAAAAAAAAAAAAAAATCCCAATATTCTTTTCCATGCTCCAATTTAAACGAAAAAAAAGATCGGTATGCAAAAAAAAAAACAATAAGAAATTATGAGATTGACTTAAAAAAAACGACTATATATATATATATATGTAATTTTTGCCTGCATGTCATGCTTTTTCCTCTGCTTGAACTAAAAACATACGCATACGACATAAGCATGATTATTGATACATGTTTTTCTGGTTGTTTGGGTGCTATGACTCTGATATAAATACCTTTATCGCACCAATACACCTCCAAACTTTATCAGACTGTCATTACATTGTTGAGATCTAGTTCTCGTCAAAGTACCGCCACACCCTTGCTCTACAATCACCTGAACCTGTGGCGAAAAGCTTTCCGACCGGTCCACTCGCAGCCGGGCTCAGGGCGACCGAAATTACTGCGATAAACAAAAATGAAATATTTAGAATCTCAATTTTATAGATACTACCATTTTCACAAACTCATTGGTTAGTAAAATTTAAACACAAACCTGAATTTTTGTGACCTTGCAGCATGAATTGTGTATGTGCATTGTTTGGATCCCAAAATTGTACACCACG